CCCCTCTAATAAGTATAATGATAAATTACGGTTAATATTCGTTTTTTACTTTTTGTGCATTTTTCCTTCTTTTATTTCAAATACAAGTATAGTTAGCATAAATTTTAGAGCAAATTTGGATGCTCAGAATGCAGGAAATGGCATTTCCGTGGTTCAAATTTCAAAAATTTTCTGGGGGAGTACACCCCCAGACCCCCCATTCATGCGTGGTATATTTGCCACACACGTGGCTTTCAGCCATTGCTATCCCCCTCTAATATATTATCTCACAGAAAGGTCCCTTTTCAAAAAATGCCCCCCCCCCCCACGGGAAAATCCTTAAAAAGGCCGTGCGAACTTGCGGACATTGGAAACCCGAACATAGAGAATGCGGACGTTAAAATTGCGGTCATGGAAAATGCGGACATTGGAATTGAATTCGTGGACTGAATGCTGACATTGAAACTGCGGATGTCAAAAACGTGGACATTGAAATTGCGAACATGTAAAACGAGGACATTGAATTCGCAATATGGAAAACGAGGACATTTTGCAACATGGAAAACGCGGACATAAGAAGTGACACAGCAGTGTGAGATATCGACAAACTGAAAAAGTCTAACATATTGTTTATTTAAAATGTGATGGTTGATTTAAAACCCAAATTAAGTAGACGTTTTTTATTTAATAGTTTAATAAATAAAAATTACCAACTTGCAGCTATTAAGCTGAATTACATGGTATAAGATTTACAGGGAGTGTATCTAATTTATATATTCTATGGCTCTATGTTTACAAAGCTTAAAATTTAAACTTGAAAATTGGAAACATGCAAATATATACGAATACTAAAACTATGAACTATGAATTAAAACGTTTAGAACTTGCGATTATGAATATGTCCATGTATCTATTAGTCTTAATTATTGGAAGGTCAAAGGTTCTCTTTGTCCTCAGGGAATGTCCAGTATTTGAGTTCAAATCCGGCAATAGTGGGTAGGCTTGGGCGGTTTACCGGTTTTTCGGTTTTATAAATTTTCAAACCGGGTTTTTCGGTTTAGCTTTTACAAAAACCGGAGAACCGTCATTACGTAATTGTTTACTGTCATCGCCTGAAACTCGATCTTAAGGCCATTTTCCACTTCGCCCGTATCGTACCGTAACGTATCGGTGAGCATGCGCAGATTGAAAAGAGGTTTATAAATCCACGTACTTCCGGGTGTATTCGCGTATCAAAATAAAAAGTTCGTCGCAAGTCAACTTTTTGGCGTATTACGGAAGTACTAACCATCAACATTCCCGAAATTTTGAAATTTAAAAACGTTCTCGCTACGTTACGGTACGGTACGGGCGAAGTGGAAAACCGGCTTTAATTCTCAAAACATGACACTAATTAAACTCAATTACATGACACTAGATACAAATTCTATTCTTTTTCCGTAAAGTCGGCAAGAACTAAAGAGGTATAAGCTTTCAAATGCGTTCTTGACCCTTTTATTTTAAAACTGAAGTCGTTTTAGGTTAACTTTGCACAATTTTGCTTTTTGTCATGTACTGTTCGTTTGCTTCTGTCAAAAACTCCACCACAATTCTTCCTCATTCATCAGTTGAAGTAAAAATTAAAGGTGAAAAAACGGTTTTACCGGTTTAGAAGCAGACGGTTTTTCGGTTTTAATTTTAAGCAAAACCGCCCAAGCCTAATAGTGGGTGAAGTTTGTGATTTGGATCTTCAATGATTTCTTTAAACAATATAAAATTTATCACACGCAGCCTGACGTCTCTTTTCAAGCTTTCCAAGATTAGACAGTGAAATTGCTTCGTTATAAGACTTCCCAGGAAATATAATTCTCATAGCACGAAGTTGTATCCGTTCAATGTCTTTACTCAGGTAATTTGGGATTCCGTAATGAAAAACAGGCGATGCATATTCTACTGTCGGTCAGATGCAAGTACAATAAAAACAAATCACAGCGGCGGGTACATTCGCACGTTTTAACTGAAGGTAAAAAATACAATCTTTTAGTAGAGGTTTTCTTTAGTTAATGATACTGTCAACATGACTGTTCCATTTAAGATCACTTCTCATCATTAAACCCAAAATCTTGGCCTCGAAAATCAACTTGGGTCTGATTTACTGAACTGTATCCGCATTTCTTTGCATTTATCTTCGTTGAGGGTAAATTTTAAAGCATTGGACTGATCGTAAATTTCATTAACTGTGGATTGGATGTTACTACTTGTATCTTTAGGCAGTATTTCAGCTAGAGTAGTGTCGTCAACGTATTTCCAGAGATCAGTCTCGGTTACCTTAAGATCATTGATCATGAGGGACCGGTCATTAATTACAGGGGAGGGGGGGGGGGGCTGGTGGAAATGAAAAATTAGATGCTAAAATGTATTTGACCCCCCCTTGAGGATAACACAATTATACTTGACACCCCCCCTCCCCCCATGCAAATAACAAAAGGCGCATTCGTAATTTAAAGTTCTTATAAAGTGAAGCCACATTTAATCCTGCCCTATCATAGTTGCCAACATTGGGAATAACACATCCGTAAGATTTCGCTTTGGGGGGCCCACAAGGCGCCACCATAGTTGGCGCCAAGCAGAAAACTTGAAAATATGGAGTCTCTAGATCGTTGAAAATGGCATTTTCCTTATTTCAGAGTCTTCTACACCTTAATCCTTATACACACAACTTTTGGTAGCTTTTCTTTAGATATACAAAACCATATTGTTGAATACCCATGAGTACGAGGTTGCATGAAGTGATGTTTTGATTATCTATTTTTGGCTTAATGGCGTGAATTTTTTCAGAAGAAAAAAGTTTTATGTAATTTGACGCAAATGAAGTCACTCTTAATAGTTACTAAAATGTGCAACAAAGCCAACATATTTAAGAACCAGTTGGGTTATTTTCGAAATCTGTGAGAATCCGTGAGAAGCTGTGAGCTCACTGTGAGGTTTTAGTAAAATCTGTGATGCTCATGGTGGATCCGTGAGAGTTGGCAACTATGCCCTATATACATGTATCGTAATTTATATATTGTCTATATTCTTTACCATTTATTGAGTCAACGGCTGTTCCAATGTACATGTTTATGTTGAAATCAGTTTAATAAATGGTGTTGTGTTGGAGTTTACTACAGTTCTACTGCTCTCTATTTTTATCTGTAGGTCAGTTTTATGGTACAACAGGGTCATGCGGGGCAGGTATTTATATTGCACAAAAATGTTTGCCCCCCCCTTTTTCATGCACAAAAATACCTGACCTTCCTCGTTTTCCACCAGCCCCCCCCCCCTCCCCTGTAATTAATGACCGGTCCCTGAGGAGATACAACCAGGGTCCAAGTTTGGTTCCCTGGGGTACTCCTCCTGGGACAGAGGACCATTCTAAAAAACAGTCTGATGTTACTTCACTCTTTGTTATGATTTTTGTGTTGGTGTTGTGTACTCAGGTGAATATGATGTTTTTGATGTTACTCTGAGTGTATATCCATACCGGGCCATCTTGGAAAATATGCCTGTCCACGGTGGGAATTGTATCGAACCTACGACCTTTGGAATACTAGCCCAATGCTCTGCCAACTGAGCTACCCGGTCAGGTCGGTTCGAGTATGCGTATTTCGGAACAGAATCTAGATCCTTCGATATCGATGTAGTCTGGTAATCATATGATTTTTGTGTTGAAACTTACTCTTTGTTGACGGTCAGTCAGGAAATCTCTCACCCAATTAATAATACTGGGAGGAATATCTAATGAATTAAGTTTCATTACGAGTAATTGATGGTCGATAAGGTCGAAGGCTTTCTTGAAATCTAGTAGAACCAATCTAACTAGGGCACCATTACCGTCAGTTGCTTTTGAAACGGTATGTACTATAGCTATACCAATAAGGGGCTTAAGGGCATGTGTGGTTGATGACTTGGGCACAGTACCAAATTGCTTAGTGTCAACAACTTTAAGGTTTAATACATTGTTCGACCACCACTTCTTCAGCTAGTTTCGAAATTATTGGTGTTAATGAAATACTACCATGCAGAAATAGGTCTAAGGTCTTTATTAATAACTCGTACAGGTTTCTGTTTCGGAAGGGGGTAACGTCGGCCAATTTCCAAGAAGAAGGTAATCGGTTCTCTTGGTAGGACGAATTTAAAAACTTGCACACTGGCAGAGCCAGGATATCGGCGTTCTCTTTCAACACCCAGCCGGGAATGGTGTCGGGTCCGGATGCCTTCAAATACATTTACACCAAGTAATACACCAGCATAGATATGTTTGGTCTAACGGTTGTTCAATTGTCTAGGGTAAAGAAAAGGACGGAGGAAAGAAAAAGGACGGAGAAAAGAAAAAGGACGGAGAAAAGAAAAAGGTCGGAGAAAAGGCGCGTTTGCTAGGTAATGAAGATGGAGGAAATGAATATAACACAATGAACTCCGACGCGTCGGTAAGTTGAAACATACTAAATTTTATAATACTATACACTCTTCTATTATTAAATTAGGACAGAGAGCTGTTCCTGAAGTATGTAAACTGCGTTGTATAACTTTAGTTTTATCAAGCTAATAGCAATATTTTTCTGCTGTTTCACTTGACTCCAATCATGTTGGGGACAATTTTCTAAATTTCATTCGGTGATACCGTAAACCTCTGAATATTAGCCCCCGAAATATAATAACCCCCTGTATAAGCCCACCATATTCACTAACGCTCATTCGAATATAAGCTCCCCCCCATATGCCCATGCGCTTATTATTGGACAGGTATTTATTCACGCAGCGACGGACCGGTGATTCCAACAGCTCATGATCACACTAGTGACGTTACAGTATTATAACATGTTAACCAATTTGTTTTAGTATGTGTTACAAAACTGTGTGTTTATATTTCTTTTCGTTTACTGTGTACAGTTTACAGGTACAATAAACATTATTACTAACTTAAGAAACTCATTCATAATTGACGAGGATAAGGCCTGTTTTATACGTCGAATTTTGGTCGCGTCGAATGCAATTAAGACAATAGATTAATGAGATTATAAACCTTCATTATCTATTGTTTGAATTGCATTCGGCGCGACCGAAATTCGACGTATAAAACAGGCCTAAGACAAAGGAAATCACTGCCGTGTCGATGGTTAATGTGATAAAAAATCATGTTCATTTACATAAAATTCAGCTTCGATTTTCTCAGCTTAGACGTGTCATTTTTAAAATTACTTCGCCAATGAACTCATAAGATGAGTCGTTCTTTAAGCCTTTTAAAACACTAGTCCGACGTGCTTTATCAGATATAAAACACTCGACTGTCGCCTTGTATTTTATTTCTGATAAAGCACTCCTGCTCGTGTTTTAAATAGTACACCGTATATGAACCCCCACCATAGATATCTTATATACACTAGATAGCGCATCTCTTTTAGTAAAATTGAAGCCAAGAATATTCCAGCGGTTACCCCCATTTGAATTGATGGCGGCCATGTTGGTCGTTCCCACTTGCTAATAAACGCTTAAAAACAACAATAACTTTCATCATTTGAATAGTTTAAAAATGTATTTGGAATAGGGTTAACTTAATGTTTAAGTTCCTTGTTTAAGAAATAGAAAACATACGAATCTTCTCATTTCATGGGAACGACCTGGAGTGAGACAGCAATCATGGCTTCAATTTTTGAATTGCAGAATAATTAGATGCACTATCTAGTGTGTATAAGATATCTATGACCCCCACCCTGAAGGTTTAAGATGACATGATACGAAATTAAAAATAATAGAATTTACATGAAATTAATAAAATTCACATTAAAGAACCGTGAAAACTCTAAACTAAAATGATTTGGTGATAGTTAGTCCGTTCGATGTCTGTATTTGTTTTCGAAATTTTGGGCTGCAAGCAGGTTAGATGATAATCTGGAAAATCGGCTACCTAAGGGGAACTTCGTTTCCAGGCTCTTACCTTTTGTGGAGGAAAGACCTTGGTAGGACTGGTCACGCGATCTGTTAAAGTCTAGCAGATTTTTAGTTGATGATGATGATGTTGATAAACATTTCGTATTTATCCTTTAAGGTAATTCCGCAGTACTTGTTCCCGAAATGAGAATGTGCTGAAACTTCCCAGGCATGGAGTTTATGATATACTTAAAGCAAAATCACACAAAAAAGTCAGGGTCACCGAACTCGTAAAGAAGATATGACAATCACAATATACCACCTTCACCCCCAATATGGCGCCATCTTGACGCTCATTACGAGTAACAGCAAACTCACAACAGCCCGATATTTATTGACGTTTTTAGCGCGGATTTTGCTTTAGTAAACCTATCTTGTAATTATTTTTGAAAAAATATTGTGTTTTGAGCAAAATGAAACTACTAAAGTGTAAAATTCTGATCCACAAATGCCGGTCTTTTCCACATTTCTTTATATATCTTTCTTTGAGAACATGCATTGATAAAGCATTTTTTTTCAAGATCCAGAAATGATTTTTCTTTTAATTTCGGATATGAAATGTAAAATGCATTAAAGAAATAAATTATCAGTTAAAAAACGGGGGTCACCGATCTTTTTAGAGAATTGTGGCATTAAAACGTGAATACAAGTAAATAAATATACTACAGACACAGGGAACCCTAGCTACATTTTTGTATGCCTTTTTTGAAAACATTGATTTTAACGTAATTCTTTGCACGAATGTAACCAAAGATGTTTTGAAGTAACATAAAATTGTCATAAAATGATAATTTTTTTTAAACGGTACGTGTAATGGATGAAATTATAAGTTATATGTGCGCAGTAAAAGTGCGCAATGCAAAACTGCGGAATTACCTTAATTTATAACTTGCATTTTGTTTTGCAAGTTTGATTTGATTTGATTTCAAAGAAATCCAATTAATTATCATAATTAGAAATCTGCTCCAGGGTCGTTCCTCCACAAGAGGCAAGAGCCTGGAATTGCTGGAAACAAGGTTGGTCCTTGGGATATCATTCTTGATACTGAATGCTGACAAACTTATAAAATTACGTCGCACTTTTCATAATGAGTGCTAAACTATAAAAAAATTTGTGTTCTGTCCAACTGTATTAAAATTAAGAAAATGGCAATTTCTGGAGATGAAATTATGAAATAAATGCTATTAGCTTGATCTACGTTTGTAGATGGGATGTTTATAGATGGAATTTTCGAACGAATATTTGCTTAGCTACAATTTCAGACTTAACCAGGGGCAGACTAAATGGCAGTTGCGAAAAGTGCAACTTTGGGCCCTCGTGCCCCTAGGGATCGGCCCTGAGGCACGTTAATTAATCGTAAAAAGAGATTTGATACCATACGATCACAAATCATGGATTAGAAAATCATCTGCGATTACGTTTCATAATAATCCCATCATGCACGCTTCACGCGAAGAGTTTTGACGCATATACAGCTTGACATCTGAATTAAAGTCTGATGTATATTAATGAATAATGTGAAAAGAAGTAATCTATTAACGTCGATGGCTAATTTTCTCGATTAGTCTAATGGTGTAGGGTAACCCTACCACTAGGGTTATCCTTACCAAGAGGGTCAAAACATGGCGAGTGTGTATCTATGCGTGGTCGCTAAGCCAGCTTTATTTGAAAATGGCGCCTAAACGGGAGGTTTTAGCGGCAATTGTACAATTTTATGTCTTGCCCTAGCGCGTGTAAACAAATACAAGAGACCAGGGAGGGTCGCCATACTGTACCTTCATGTAAACAGACCCTAAGTATTCTTAATGCTTAAACTCGTGTTTCTGTAAAATATAGGACAATTCCAGAAGTGGTGTAACAAATCCCATTATAACACAACGCCAAGAGCCGGTAAGCACTTTTCAAATACTAATGTGCATCATAATATTTTAGTTAGCCGATGAAGATCGAGGGAGTGTTAGATATTATTGTTATAGTATATCACTGTAAATCTGGTAGTGTTACTCCAACACCAGAATCGGCGTGAATTCTTGCAGCTGTCTGGACACCAATTTGGTGTTAACTTACACTAAATTTGGTGTCAATGTAACCCTCTCAGTGTTGGTGTAAATCTACACAATGATTGTAAACTAACACCTCCAAAGGTCGTTTTACACTGCTTTGGTGTAAAGCATCTTGCAACTGTGTGGACACCAACTTGGTGTTAATGTCCAAATTATTCAACCCTCCAAATTATTAAAACACCTTCAAGTTTAGATTAGTGTCAGATAAAGATTAGATTAGGGTTAGATTAAGATTATGTTAGGGTTATAGGGCTCAACATGTGTCGTGAATTTATTATATTGATAATTTCGGACGTTTTTGATAATTTACTCAGACATATAGTAAATTCAAAGGTGGAGCTCATGCCATGTATATTCTGCGGTACAGGTTTCATGATAGATAGATGTTAGATAGATGTTTTATTAAAACTACTTTGCAGCTGAAGCTGAATTGCGTAGATGTTTACGTAATATGTACAAGAATGGTGTAGGTTATATAAATATTTACAATTGGTGACAGGATACAAGGTGCAATTGACATTATTTACTATTTAACATATGTGGTATAAAAGTGTTCTTGAAACGCTTAGTACGTGCTAAAAGAGACCTAAAGGAACGTTTGTGTCTCAGATTATATGTCTGCTTCTTCTTTGGGGGTAAAAGTTTATAAAGTTTGTGATCTGAGTTTGATGTTATCGAATCAAACAGCTTCAAACATAACATTTGCCTTCGATTGACTAAAGTTTCTAGCCCAGAATACTCTAAGCATTTATTATACTTTTCGCATTTAAATATAATTCCCAATGATCTTTGCTGGACACGTTCTAAATCATCTGCCAGATACTGTGGTAGAGAGTGATGGAAGACTGGCGCTGCATATTCCAATACGGGCCTAATACAAGTACAGTAAAATTGCACAATTTCTTTTTCTGGGACTTTTGCTCGTTTCAATTGTACTAAGCAATACAAACGTTTGTTCGCTTTCTTTATGGTGTCTGTTCAGACTGATTTGAATATTCATATTTCATTTATTATGCGAAATACGAACGCGTACGGGGTCCCGGGATCCCGGGGAAAAGCCCCGAAGATTCCCGGATGAAAGTGTGCTCGAGAGACAAAAATATAGTTTTTAGTGTGTTTTGGTTTGGAATATATTCATGTTTCTTTATAAAGTTTTGGTACTTTTCTTGATTTAATGTTAATTATTGTTGCCCCAGTCGTTAGTTGGGATGGCCCTAAGCTGGTGGTAACATTAAATGGTCCTTCGAGCCGGATTGAATTGGTATAGTGGAATTATTTGTATGATATAAATATGTCTGTTCATGGTTCTGAAGCAAATCGTGTGGTTGAAAGTGAATTTGGTAGCGTTTCGTTGGAAGAAACACGTATTCGAAGTAAAAGATCGGTAGTTAAGAGGAGAATAACTACAACTTTACGTAAATTGGAGGGACTTGTGGCGAAATTTGGTAGCAAAACAATAATAAAAGGGTATGTGAATAATTTATCTGAATATTTAAAAGAAGCTGAGGCACTTAATACTCAACTTCTCACTCTGGTACATGAAAGTGAGCATGAAGCTGTTTTAATTTGGTATGAAGAACAATTAGAAAGAGTCCATGATGCCAAATTAGAGGCTGAAAGTCATCTTGAGGGGCGCTTACATGAAGTATCCTCAGTCGCAGGAACATTTCCTGGCATGCAAGAAAGTGCGCAAATACCGAATTTAATTAGCTCAAAATCTGTAATGACATGTAGTTCAAAATCAAGTGGAAAAGGAGCTGAAGTTCGTGCGAAAGCCTTTGCCGCAGAGTTAAAAGCTAAACAATTAATGGAAGAAGAAGAGAAAAGAAAACAAGAGTTGGAAAAACAATTAGAACTTGAAAAAAATGTAGCTATGGCTAAAGAAATAGCTGAAAGAGCAAAACTCGAGGCTGAAGAAAGACGAAAGGTCCAGCAAGCGAAGGATGAATGGATGCGTTTAAGGGCGGAAGCAGAGATCCTGGAAAATGAAGAGGACAACCCAGAAAGTTTGTCAAACAGACTACGTGACTTTGAAAATGAGACAAATGATAAAGAACAACCTCCAACAGTACATCAACAAAGTCCTCTGAAGATTATAACAGAAAAATCAGCACCAGTGAAAGTTCCTGAAAATACTACTCATAAGGGAACATTAAACAGTCAAGTTGGTCAGAAACTTCCTAGTGGAAATAGTGTACCAAGTATATATGTTCAACCCAGCTCTAATAATCTGCCAAGATTAAAATTAACCACTTTTGATGGGGACTCTCTTAAGTGGCCTGATTGGTCTTCTATGTTTAAATCAATGGTTGGTGATGCAAACATATCCCTAAATGCCAAAATGCAACATTTACAGAACTCAGCTACGGGTAAAGCTAAGACTTCAATCGAGGGGTATGGCTATAGTGGTGATTCATATAACAAAGCAATGTCTGAGCTGGAATCCAGATTTGGTAAACCATCATTAGTCATCAAAGCCACTCTTGGTAAGTTGAGAACCTTCAATCGCTTACAAGATAATGATCCAGAAAGTGTTCGGAGCTACTCTGATGTTGTGTCAACTACTGTATGGACGCTGTCAAGATTTGGTTATGTGAGTGATCTTAATGCGGAAGCAAACCTGTCGTTGGCTACATACAAGTTATCAAATGAACTGCTACTAAAATGGAAAGAACATGTCAAGGATGGCAAACTAGACCGTCCAAACTTGAGCCAGTTTTCAGATTGGCTCAAAGGGCAAGCTGATATTTATGATGAGTGTGCAAGGTCATCAAAGAAGAATTTCAAGAGCAAATACCAAAAGCAGTATGGCCCATCAAATAGAGGAGAAAATCAAACTGTATTATCATGCATAATGTTGGATGGAAGTAAACATAGCCTTAGTGAATGTGCGAAGTTCAAGAGTTTATCTGTCGAAGACCGACTTGTGGAAGTTAGGAAACATCGACTGTGTTTTTGCTGTTTAAGTAAGGTTGAACATTGGTCAAACAAATGTCCTGTAAGAAAGCAGTGTCAAATAAATGGATGCAAAGGATATCATCACAGTCTTTTACACAGAATGGAAAATAAGGAACCTGGCTCTGGAAATAAACCACCTGAAAGAGAAGAGAACATTGGAGCAACGTTTGAAAGTAAACAATGTTCACAGGTCAAAAGGGGTATGCCGGTCTTACTCCAGGTTATACCTGTCACTTACATGGTCCAAATGGATATTTGAACACCCATGCAATGCTGGACAGTGGTAGTACATGCAGTTTGGTCTTATCTAGTGTTGCTGAAAAGCTTGGTTTGCAAGGTTCAGAGGAACGAATTATATTGAATGGAATTCAGGGAACTTCTGAACTGAATTCGAGACGAGTTAATACTCAAGTAAGTGCAGTCAATATGGTGACACCACGTTTTGATGTGAACGGAGCATTGGTTGTTGAGCACTTGAATATTGCCCAGCAGAAGGTGAACTTGGTGGATGTAAAGTCTAAATGGCCGCATCTAAAGGAAATAGACATACCGGAAGCGAGTAGTTGTGATGTTTCGTTACTTATTGGTAGTGACTGTCTAGACATTATCTTACCCATTGAGACACGATGTGGTCCTAGAGGAACTCCAGTTGGAATTCGTACAAAGCTTGGTTGGACGATAACTGGACCTCTTTCGGGTTATATGCGGACATCCGAGGGTATCTTCCATACTTATGTTCGTTCACCTGATGAAGAGCTTCACAACCAAGTAAAGTTGTGGTGGCGTACTGAGGAATTTGGATGCAAGTATGACGTGGAAACCCAAAGGTCGGTTGAGGATGAGTCACAATGGCCGGAAGACGTTACAAACCGAGTGGTCAACGATAACATTCCAGATGTTGTTACTGAAAGCGATGTTCAGTTTACCGGAAAAGTGACGACTCAGAGTGAACCGGAAGAACTAGTTAACCTTGCCAGATACTCTTCGTATTCTCGCGCGTTGACTGTTATGGTGTATGTACAACGATTTCTGCGTAATTGCAAAGTACCCGTGTCTGAAAGAACGTTTGGTAGTCCGTTAGTCGAAGAACTCGAAAAAGCAAAGAAAACTCTGATTCGCCAAGAGCAAATTAAAACATTCACTTCGGAATTTAGAGAGCTTAAACGTGGACGTCCTGTGCACAAGCAAAGTAAATTAGTATCTTTGACACCCTTCTTAGACGAAGATGACATAATACGCGTTGGTGGTCGCATTGGAAAGGCTGCTATACCTTTTGTTACTCGGCATCCGATCTATTGGATTCTAGTGGTGATCTAACCAAACTAATTGTCATGGATACCCACAACAAGCTTGGACACGCGGGAGTGGACAATGTTGGAAACGAGCTTCGACAGCAGTTTTGGATCCTTCGCTGTAAAGCCACGGTTAAGAAGAATCTTCATAGTTGTTGGTTGTGCAAACTACGCCGTACCGTGCCACGTCCACCGAGAATGGCTGATTTACCACGCGACCGGCTGTTGGTGAGTCCTCCCTTTACGAAAGTTGGCGTTGATTACTTTGGTCCGCTACAGGTGAAATATGGAAGAAAGCATTTAAAAAGGTACATTTGTCTTTTTACCTGTCTCGTGACACGAGCGGTCCATTTGGAAGTAGCATTCTCTCTCGAAACTGACTCTTTTATTATGTGTCTCCGAAGGTTTGTGGCACGGAGAGGTAGTCCTCAAGTCATCTATTCGGATAATGGGACAAATTTCGTGGGAGCCGATCGGGAGCTCAAGGAGTGTATTGAAAATTGGAATCAAAGTCAAATCGCTAACGAACTTAGTCAAAAGGGAATAAAATGGGTGTTCAATCCCCCAGCATCACCACACAT